ATTTGAATAATTTCCATAATGACAGGCATGCTCATAATGCACAGGTATCATACACAGACATGTTGAGTCCAGGAATCAAGCTCAGCCAGAATTTCAGCATCTTGAAATTGTGTCCAAGGAAAGCAAAAAGTACTCTGTGAAAACACAGTCTCCAGGAGAAAAAAAAAATTATAAAAAAATACTATGTGACCAGAATCCCTGCATTTACAAAAAAAAAAAAAAAAAGTGGAGTGGTACAAAACCACGTAATTAGCAACTTATAAAACTATAAAGAATATAGTAAACTATCCATCACTTGGAAAGTTTTCAACCAAGCACGGATGTCTCACTGAAATACACAATTTAATTCAAGCACAAACAGTTGGGATCATGTCAACAGTCACTGCACAAAATTGTGTGGCCTGAATCAGGTAAAAGAGCAACTAAAGAGGTTATGACAATCCCACACCACTCTTCTTTGGTCCCAGGGAAGGACTCTTAAAAACTTGTACTCAAACTCTAACTTACCAGAAAGACTGTTGAACAGAAGTAATTTAGCAAATTTCATTTTTATTTACTCAAGATAAATATTTATCACCCTGCTGTAACTAAGAAAAAATTTTGACATAGTACTTTATTCTTTAACCCTAACAAAAAACCACACAACTGTATCAACCAACTAAATCATCAACATGATGGCAACCAAATGTAATTATATATTTGAAATCCTCTTTCCCCTTCACAAATGGCCACTACTCTTTGAAACTTTTCTCCATCCTCAAGCTGTTTTGATTTTAGTCAAATAGTCTGTATAGAAGCCTCTTTTTATTTTGCATAAATGAGTTCATATTTCCTTTTTTTTTTTTTAAAGTGTTATTGTAGTATAGAGCAGCCCAAAAGATTCACGCCTAATTTTATTACATCTGAAAATGCTTGGCTTACATATGCTTTCCAAACATTTTAAATAATAATAATAAATAATAACAACAATAACAATAATAATAAACAAACACAAAAACCCACAACCCCAATACTGAGACAGTTATTAGCAAACAAGAACTAAGCAAAGATAATGAAATGGCAAGAGGAACCCTGATGGATCAATAAATTCTTCTATACAACTCATAGGAAGTATTAAATTTAAAAGCAATTACAACTGATGTTAGAATTTAATGCAATCTTTTACTGCAATCTAAATGTGTTTTTCACCTGTTAACTCTTGAGACCTTACGAATGAAAAATAAATCTAAAGCCCAAGTCAGATAACCCAGTGCATCTCTCCAACAAGATAAGTTTTTGCAGATTTTTATACAAGGAACCCATTTCATCACGTGCTAAGTTTTATGGTGAATTTTACAACACTGGCAAACAATTTCACCTTTATGACAACTTCCAGCATTTTTTCTTCCCCTGTGCCTTCACATGCCTTTCCAAAATACTATGTTTGGTAATGCTCAAATCTCTGAAAACCCACAGTACACAGCACTTTGGTTCAACTCAGCCCCGCTCTGGGACTGGCATTGCTTACAGGAGCCATCTGCATGAATTCTGGGTGCGTTCACTCTGTGACATTAATGAAGGAGAGTGTTCAGTGAGCCTGGCTGGCAGCATAGCTCTGTTACGAGGACATCTGGGGATTACAGTGCCTGGCAAAACAGCATCTGTAACATGCGGGAATTAGGAAGGAAGGAGGGGTGCTTCTAACCTTACACATTTGAGCAGATAGGGGAGGTAACAGTTTCACTTGTAACTTGATAAGTAGGCACTAAGGTAACAAGCCTTGTCTTTGACACCCAAACTAGTACAATCAGCTTGTACTGTACCACATGCCACCACTCCAGAATGATGCTGCACTGACCTAGGCAGTTATACCTTCTTAAATACATCCCACTGCAGAACACTGTATGCAAGGCAGCATTGCCATGTTTAATTACTACTATACTACCCACTTCCAATTCTTTCCTAAATCTGGCTTTTTTTTTTTGGTGCCAAAACTTACACCATTTCCTAAAGCTACTAAAATGGCATAGTGACACCTACTGTAAAGGGGAACCAAGGTGAAGTCTAAAAAATCCCATTATTTATAACAAAACAAATTATATCTCAAGAGAGTTACATAAAATGTATATAGCAAAATAAAAAGCATGAGAATAAGGAATGAAACTGTACTTCAGTAATTAAAAAGCAAACAAATTACATTAGAATTATTCAAAACTCAACATTACAGACCAAACAGCTTCAGAATTAGACTTGCACATTAAAGAAATCTAACCTGCTAAAATAACTGCAAGGCATCTCAACTATAAAGTAGTGGCACCAGGTGTATAAATGAGACATTACTTTTATTCTAATTCACAATTACAAATATAGTAATCTCAGTCATAGGGTTTTTCAGACAGAGGACTGTAATTTTCTCTGCCATTCAGTTTAAAAAACATAAAAAGAGTAAAGTTAAGAAAGATGAAACAAAAGCAGTGAATGTATACTATTAAAAATTAAATAAAAACATGCCACACCAGGTAAAATAATTTTATTCCCTTAAAGTACAAGCAGAAAGGCAACCAAACTCACTTTCTTTTCTTGGCTGAAGATGTCAGTAGAAGTTCAAGATCTGTAGCTGCCAAAAGCAACTATAGATGGTTCAGCTTCCTCTATTCTCTTAAAATCAGTTTTAGCTTTCTCCTCTTCCTTCCAAAGGGACTGAGCTTTTGTATTCTCACTCTTGAGAGAACTGATCTCCATTCTCCACTCTATTCTACTGTACCATTTATTTTCTCCTGTAAAGCCAACTGCTCCTATCTAGGGGCTAAAACTGCAGGTGGTAAGAGCAAAGGCCCACTGAATGGAGCTACTCAGACTTTCATTGCATGAGTATCTGCTAGCTTTCTATACGGAGATGACTGGCTTGGTAGACCAGTGACAGCAGTGAATGTCATCTACCCTGACTCTAGCAAGGCTTGCAGTGTGTTCCACAGTGTCCTTTAACAAGACTGGTAACATACGGACTAGGTAAGTAAACAGCAAGGTTGGAAAAAAAACAACTGGACCACCAGGCTGAAAAGATTGTAGTGAGTAGTACGAAGTCCAGCTGGCAGCTGGTTACTGGGGGCATCCCCCTAAGTGCTGATACTGGCACCAACAGTTTAACGTCTTTATTATCTGAACAAGTTAACTGAATACATTTTCAGCAAGTCTGCAGATGATACTAAACTGGATTTGTTCCCTCTTAAGGTATGACAACTAAAGGGAGAAATCCTACTGCTGTCTTCAATTACCTAATGAAAAGATATATAAAATAAGACAGAGCCGGGCTCCTTTCAGAGAAGCATAGTGATAGGACAAGAGGCAGTGGACAGTAAGTTTCAACAAGGGAAATCCCAGTTACGTGGTGGGAGAAAAATCTGCACCACAATTGTGGTCAAACACTGGAATCGACACCCAGAGAGGCTGTGGAATCTCCATCCTTGGATATTCTGGAGTACCGATGGCAGAAAGCTGGAGGAGTAGCACCTTCACAACATTCCTCCTTCACAGGACAGGCTAATTAATAAGAGTTATTGAGAATCACAGAATCTGAACATTAACAAGTTAAAAAGCCAAACAAGGAATATTTTGCCGTGTATTTTCCTTCTTGTTTCTTTTTAAAATGGAGTTAAGATTGTTAAAATGTCATTAGACTACATTAAGCTTGTTTCAGAATTTGTCTGGTAAAGGTCTTAGCAACACATGACAGCACAGCCCTACAGCATTCATCTGTTCTGAAAAGTAGATGCAAGTCGTCACTCTGCATCTGCCTGCTGTGTAGTGCTGCATGTACTACAAATTCACGTGTTTTTCTGGCTTCTTTGTGAAGTATGTACTGGAGAACCTCTATTGTATTTGCTCCCTGAGCTAGAAGAAGCACTGTAAATGACTTCTCACATGTAATCTTCTCTCTATGAAGAGAATACCTTATTTCAGTGTCTAAATGTCAAAGTAAGTGAAAGAAACTGTGCAGGATTATTATCTCTATGCTGTAGCTGGAGAAGCAGAGATTTGACAGTTAAATGACTTTCTCCAAGTCAGAGAACAAGTAGCTGAATCAAGCACAGGAAATTAAAACAAAAATTTCCAACTTCCAGTTTTTGTGTTGGCAGTGAGAAAGATAAACCACACATTTGCCAATGAGACAGAAAATACATATGCACATACAAAGTGTTTCTCCTGTTGGAGCATACACACTTTTTTTTTTGGCAGCTTCTAGTCTGAAATGGCCAAGGGGAGCTGGATGTAATGAGAAAACAAAAATTCCTTCAGGATGCAATGTTAAGAGCGCTTGTTTTACACTTACTACACTCTTCCCTGTCACTGTGCTCTTTCTTTTCCATTTCTAGGTACATCATCCCCCCAACACAAAAAGAATTCGCTTGACTGCTGAATAGAAGATGACGTGAGTGCTTACATCATTTACAGGAAGAAATCAACAAGCCCTTTTGGAGCTTTAGCAAGCCTCTTCCTACATTAGCATTAGGGCAATTTAAAACAACGCTTGAAATGCTTTTGCAACATTTAGCCAAACTCAATCACGACTCCTTCACATTTACTGAAGTAAGTTGGGGTAATTTTATTTTTAAATGTGTGCAGCCCTAAATTGCACATCTGACCACTGAGTCACTGTCTCCTTTCCAAACCCATCTGTGGTTTCCCTGGGCAGACATAACAGTCGAAGTTCCTCTGGCCAGCAGAATAATTAAAAAAACCCAACTCTTCTAAAGTAGGAATGGACTGACTTTATACCACATTATCAACTGATGCTCTAACTGGCAAGCCAGAGCTCTGAGACTCTTGTCCCTTCCAAGGCTCAAACATGAAGAGAAGGAAAAACCAAAGGCAGTTCCAAAGTAGTTCATGGGACAACCTAGCACAACTCAGCTGTGATCAATCACACCCTTTTGCAAGGTAAAGGCTGAAGTGTTCAAGCAGGTAGGCTACTGGCAGGCAATCCACCTCAACAGAATACACACATAATTACTTTTTCTTACCTGATATGTGTTGCTGGAAGGGACTCATACTGGCGAGAAAGGAAGAGCTCTCTGTGCTTCAACTGATGTTTCTGTTTATCAGTCAAATCAACCTCAATTGTAGTTTCAGACTCTTCTTCAACTTCTTCTGCAGAGAAGCAGAGCGTAGGTTGAAATTAACTCTGTTGCATAACACCATTGCAGCCATTTCAGCTGACATACCCCCCATCCCTTAGCAACCTCCCTTAGTATTTCAAAGAAGAGTTTAACAAGACTACAGTTTATGTAACTTGACAGAATATTATGTATTTTGAATTCTATACTATCTACTTAAACGCTTGAAAAAATTATGCTCCTCTCCTACTGTACTAAGAGTTAATGTCTTTTACCCAGCTGTAAGAACAATTCTGACAAAATTACTCATTCTTTTTTCATCTTCTTTCATCTGTTTTTTTCTCTGGGGGTAGGTATTGCTTGCTGACCAGTTCTGGTTTAGATTTTCTGTTGCTGATATTGATATTACTAAAACTTTAACAGAAGTCCTGGGGAAAAGCATACTTTCTATGAACAAAAATTTACTAAACACAATTGCAGTCCAAGACTGCCCGATCACAGTCTAAGAAAACTGAAAAAGCCTACCGCCTTCCATTGTGTTAACCTTATTAGATACTGACAACAAATACCGTTTATTTTCATATTTAACTAAGATTTAAAATTATTTCTATTTTAAGTGACAGCACTATTTAATCTAGAAGATAGCATCTGTAACAGCAAATCGTCAATTATATAGTTCTTTTTAAAGCGTATTTTCAGTTGAAAACTATCTTTTATAGTTAGTCTAATCTGAAATTCTCTAGTATTACCTCGTATGTGATAAAACCAAGGCAATCATTCCCTTTTAAAGATTTAAACCAACTGTAAACTGGGAACATAAAGGAAGAAATAAAAGCAGATACTGGAAAGCATCACATACAGAGTTAAAGAGCAACCTTCACAGTGGTTGCTAACATGTCATACGATGACAGGCTCTCTGAAACAGCTACTCTGGGATCTTCATGGCTGAAATCTGCCTTCCTAGCGGATTCTTGGGACATGGGGAACTGGAATATATACTTGCTCTAGGTTCCCAGAAAGGACAAAAAGCATACGTGAATACTGTACGCAAAAATACAGACACTTTAATAATTTCTCTAATATTTGGCAATTTTCTGCCTGCTAAATTATCCATCAGCTGCAAAACCAAGTGTACTTTATAAAATACGTCTCAGAAATTAAACAATGAAACCTCAGCATTAGGTGGTATTTCACGTAACTACCTAGAACAGATCACCTCATCTGCTCTTCCAACAATAACCATTTTTACAAACAACCTACAGACTCTATTTCAAAATGAAGCCTGCCTGCATCCTCATGGCAACCACAGTTCTCTCCAAATGCAACACTTTATTATTTTATTTTTTTTTAATCATGCCTGTGTGTAGCTCATTCCACTTGTAATTGTTCTTTCCACAAAAGTCATAAAACAATACACTCTCATATAACCAACTCCTTCAAAATTGATTCCATCCACTTTCAGGCTATCTTGCTGTAGACCACCCCGCCCATCACCTTCTTTATTTTGGCATGTTTTGTGGGGAGATAGAATAAGAATAAACAAAGATTAAAACAAGATTCCCCCTAGTCTCACCTGACACCCCACAGCCTCACCTGACACATGTACAGGTTCAAGTCAGACCACAACTCAGTTCAGAATTATTCTGGCATCTATAATACTAACAATAAATAAAGCTTTAAAAAAAAAAAATCCGTGCAAAGGCAAAACATTTTTTTAATTAAGCAAGTAATTAAAGAAAAAACCAGAAATTAATGTTAAAAGGTTTATGTTTCAAGCAATTAATAGCTATGACTGTTTATTACAGTAAATGACCATTACAAGCTACATTTGTATTTCAAAGTTCAAGCATTAGTATTTCTTCTTAAAATACCAAGACATGCCAGTGGTTGCTTTATTGTTTGGGGTTGTTTTTTTTAAATAAATGTACTGCTTGTAGTATTCTACAGGTTCAAAGTTCTGTTGGCTATTTATTTCCTCTCTCCTTCCTGAAAAATATCAAAGCAATGTAATCTTATGTTATAACCATCTGAAAACAGCTGACAAAAAGCAGTCCTAACACAGGTGTCTGGGACCATTTTATATTGACATATCCAAAACATCTGACTGCAGATACCACACAAAACACAGGAGAATATGTGCCATTTTGAAGTGGCTGCAGGGAGCCAGAGATGATATTCCGGAGAATTTATAACAGCTTTAGACACCTATGCTCAAGTATCTTAATAGCTCCCTCAGAGTAAGAAATCTAAAAAAAAATAAAATAAAATAAAATAAAATAAAAATTAAAAATGCAAGAACTTGATTCATATATTTATTGCACTAATCTTACATAAACCAAGAAAGTGTTGATCCAAGAGCCTGAAGCTGAAATTAAACATCTCTTACACACATCTCTTAAAACACTGGAACCTCAATGTGAAACAATGTAACTTTTTCTGTTGTATTTTTAGAAATAAAACATATATGTTTTACTCATGATGACCTGACAAGCTCAGTAGTAGATAGAACAAGCCATGGCCAGACACAGAACAGTTCCACTCTTAACACAATATAATTTATCACCAGGATAATTTTACAGTTTTCTTCTTCTACGTTATAATACAGAAACAATGCTAACAGTAGGATTAGCATTTCGTAAAACAAGTAATAGTTTGCCCCAGCAGTAACACAAACCTGTACCAGGGAAGGAAACACTGGATAGCATAAAGAAGCAAGAAAACTAAATTTGCTTGATGGCAAATACAAAACCAATTTGCTTGATGGCAATACAAAGAATTCTGCATCTGAACAAACCTTTAGACAGCTGCTTTCGAAACAGTTTTTTGCTCATATCAGGCCTTAACACCTATTAGAAAAAAAGTGGTGATGAACTTCCAGTACTTTTAGAGATCTCTTCACCTTTTTGACTCAGATTTGCAGCACATGTGAAATTTAATTTGCCATCAAGGAGAGATTATCCTGTCAGAAGGAGTGAAATGGAAGATACCTACAGGAAATCATAAAGTAGCACTAAGCTAAGCACATTTTCAGCACTCAGGAAGAGAAATAAAGCAATGGCTCAGTGAGCACGTATTTTAATGGAGCAATATGGTGATGACATACACAGGCCTCATCATTCCAAGATTAGGGAGAAAACAGAATTCAATTTAAAATTGTTCAGCTTAAAATTGACACAATCCCCATTAGGCCTTGGGTGAAGCTTAAGATAATGCTGTTTTGTACTACTTTTCCTGATTTACAAGAAATATTTCATTATTTAAAGGAAAAACCCCAGCAATTGTAAATACTTACTTTGATCCTGAAAACCAGAGTGATATGGTGATACTTTCAGTGGCAGTGCTGCAGACTTACCCCTTCCCTTTTTTCCTCTGATGGAAACAAGACTTAACTGACTCAGTCAAGCAATGGATACTGGGAAGAAACTGTAATCCTCACCCATTTTACATATGCATCATCACTTTTAAAAACATGAACTATTCCCCCCCCCGCCCCCCATTTAATTTGTGGGATTCACTGTTAGAAAATGGTGGTGTAAATGAGTGTGAGAAGAAGAGACAACTGTCCATGCCACCTAAACTTTGTATACAGTGTCTCTGTTTATAGCTAAATAATGTGATGACTCAAGCTTGCCACTAGAAGGAACTTCTTGTTTTTACAACTGAAGTCAAAATAAACTGAGGGCAAGTCTCTAGAAACACAGTACTCCCATTTAATATAAAATGGTTTAAAAATAACTAAAAAGAAAAATCCTGAAAGACACTTAAACGTTTAAATGCAACTCAAACCACTCTATAGTTAACCATCAGCTAGCAAACGTGTTACACTCCTCTAATGTATTACTCTTCCTTAACAAAGTCAAAACAACCCATCATTTGCTCCCCTCGTCTACTGCAACAGAAAGTAAGAGACATTAGTTTAAACACTGAAGGCTATCTTCAGGGAGGAGTAAATCTTCAGTTTTAAAAGGAAGAAGAAAGTTCTCCCTCTATTGCCACCAAACTGTTGAGCATTATTTTCAGCTAGAGGTTGGCTATATCACAGAACCATGGAAACACAGAGGAATTCAGACTGAACGGGGCCTCAGGAGGTCTCTAGTACAAACTCCTCTTCAAAGTAGGCTCAGCTGTGAGGTCAGCCCAGGTTACTCAGCATTTTATTCAGTAGGCTCTTGAAAACCTCTGAGGACAGAGACCACATAACCCAATCACAGACAAAAAGCTTTTCATTATATCTAATCTGAATCACTCCTGTTTCAGCTCAGTCACTGCAAAAAGTCCAACTCCATCTTCTCTATAACCTCCCCATAGGCACTGGGAGTCCACCCCTTCTCCAAGCTGAACAGGAGCAATTCCCACAGCCTCTCCTAGCAGGACAAGTGCCCATCATGATGGCCTCTGCTGAACCTGCTCCAATTTATCAGCAACTTTCCCATATCAGGGGCCTAAAACTGGATGCGGTACCTAGATGTGATGCAATAATCGGGTGCTGAATAATCAGGGAAGATAATCACTTGCCTCGATTTACTGGCTATGCGCCTGGTGATACAGCCCAGGATGCTGTCTGCCAACTTCATTGCCAGGGAGTTGCTGTCTGCCAGCACCCCCAGGGCCTTTCCTGCAGAGCTGCTCCCCCAAGCCCCTCTGTCCTCAGCTTGTACCCCTGCCAGGGGCTCTTCCTTCCCAGGTGCAAGACTTGGCATTTGTCCCTGCTGAGTATTTTCAGGCTCTCCACAGACCATTCCTCCTGCTTTCTAGGAATCCCTGACTGCCAGCCCTTCCCTCAAGCATATCACCTGGTCACCCCCCTCCAGTGTGGTGTCACCTGCGAACACGATGAGAGGGTACCATGTTGCCTGCTCCAGTCACTGATGAAGACAGCTCCTTGTATAGATCCCTGTGGGACTCCACACAGTATGAACCCTTAACCACCACCCTCTGGCTCAGACCACACAATTAGTTTTTTATTCACCTAGTTGTCCCTTAATCCTGATCAACTCCAATTCCTTGGCCTGGTGTGCCTACCAAAAATGCTAC